AATATTCAAAGATCGGAAAGTCTCAGCTAGAATTGCAGGAACCAAATTTGTCTCTCTCTTTAATTTTTCAACCAAGTCAACTACTGCTAACTCAATAAGTCCCAAACACTTTGGAAAAATTACCAAGCCATATATCCCCAAAGAAAGCACATCTCTCCGTATATTTTCATCTACATGTGCTTCAGCTATCTTTTGTATGTGGGACCACGACACTTCCTCGCTTTCTCCCTTTCATTACAAATGATCATTTACCCATTTTTCACTCATGCCTGAGATCTTTGCAAGCTTCGATTTAAATGATGTCCCTTTTATCGATCGAGAATAGATCTTGTCCACTTTAAGACTCGACAAATTTAGCAAAAAGTGGTATTCCTCAATGGTCGGAGTCATGTTCTCTCGATTGAAAGTGAAGCAACTATAGGTCGTATTCCATAATTGTATTATGATTCGAATGAGGAATGAGTCTACATTGACATACATCAGATAAAATATGTCTCCATAAGTCTGTTGAAAAGCTTGTCTCTCAGTAAGATTCCAACTTTCCCAAATCTTCTTCAATTCCTGAAGTTCATTTTTTTTATAGGGAGACTGGTGTATAATTAGATAGATCTGACACATAGTTCCCTGGGAGGCTATCTCCTCGCTCTTTCTGCTTCGCTTTGGACCAATTTCGTACATATTCAGGATTCACTTCTATGTTTAGGAAACTCCTCTCCATTGTGAAAGTCTTTCCACTTTATTGATACTCATAGATCAATCGCCTTTTCTAATGATATGTACATGCAGTATGAAGAAAAAATAACAAAAAAATAGTTAGTCAAAACAGGTGTGTAAATTCAACATAAAAGAAAAGCATATGAATAAGACGATAAATAAATTGAATTTATTTCCATGTTATCTATCCAAATAAAATTCATCAAAAATCGTCCTACCCAAACATGCTCTCTACCCTTCTATATTTATCTAATTTAAACCTAATTGAAATTTATCAAAAAGGGTCCTACCTAAATATGCTCTCTACCCTCCTATATTTATCTAATTTAAACCTAATTGAAATTCATCAAAAAGGGTCCTACCCAAATATGCTCTCTACCGACCTACATTTATCCAATTAAAACCTAATTGCACATAAATTCTATTTCACATGCTTTTATTCGAAAAGAATGAATCTATTCTATACATTCAAAAATAAATAAGTAAATAAAAGGTTAAAGTAGTTTTCTCCTTCGTGTATGCCTATTTTGGTACCTAATGATGGACAGAGGTTTGACATGACTCTACCTAAGGTGACAGTTCTAAGGTTCTCTATATGCATGGTTTTGGCTCTAATGGAAAATGTACTTGAATTGTCCTTGATGCCGGTGCCCCCTTGGGCTACCAAACCCTCAATCCTAACCCATTACAGTAGTAAACGAATCGAGTTCAATTCGAAGGGATCCTCTTCTTTATACCCATACGAGGAATAAATCCCTACGAAGATATAAGGCATGTATATCCCAGAGGTTACTTGCTAAAGCTCATACGAAGAATAAATTCTTAGGATAGTAAAGCATTCACCCCACTTACTTGGAACGAAGCTCGAGTCTAGAGCTTATGTTATGCAAATGTTCGTGATGTGTGTGAGGAGAAACATACAACCCTTTGACTCAAAAACAGAAAAGAACCAAAAACAAACTCTCCATAAGAACTTTGATAAAGCTGGAAAAAAAAAACAAAAACAATTAAAATGTTAGAATATATAAAAATAAAGAATTTAGAACATTCAATAAATAGATCATAGCTTAACTAGAGACTCAAGCTTATAATTTCCACTATAACGACAATATATAAGCGACCAACAACCTGACTCTCTAAAGACCCCAGCAGAGTCGCTAAGTTGTCATAACCAATTTTTTGAAAAGTACAATTAAGTTTAAAAATAATTATGAATTTTTGAATAAATTTAAAATTTTGAATTAATTTAAAAATTTTGAATTGGAGTCGTCATCGACCTTTTGGTTAGGTAGGCCAAATACCTAAAAACATCTTTTAAAACAATTTTAAGAAAAATCATTTTTTTAAGACAAGACTTGGTCTGCATTAGCCAAAAATTCATTTTTAAAGGTTCAGAAGTTGATTACGCGTGGGGAAGGATAAACACCCCCACAACACTCAAAATCGGTACTTAGTCGCTTATATACCGTCGTAATGGTGGAACTTAAAATTTGAATAAAAATAAAATTATATCTATTTATTGAATATTAATTAAATTAATCTGAATTAATAAATTAAAGAAATTATTTAACTTAATAAGAAATCTCGAGATTCGCAATCCTCCTTCGGGAAAGCTATCTCACCTATTTATTATTCGTAAAGAATATTCTATCTTCGAATTACTTAAAAAATTAATATAGAAAATTGGCATAGAATAAATAAAGATTAATTTTTCTTGAACATACATCAATAATACTAACATTTAAAGATAACAAAATAAAACTAAAACTAAAACATTATCAAAATAGAATAGCAATAAAGAATTAAAATAAATAAAATAAAATAAAAAAAATATAATGATTTTAATAAACTAATATAAAAGTATTCGTGTTTTCAAGTTCATATTCCATTAGAACGTCGTATCGGATTGCACCACTTCGATCAAATGGTACTTTCGCCCGTTCTACAAATAAGGTTCTTAAAAATAATTTCAAATGTATATATATATATGCATTAGGCAAACAGTGAATATCAAACGATTTAAAATGTGACTAAGGGGCTGTTTGTTTGCCTCTTAATGGAATCATTCAGCGCGTTTGTTTTGCACCTCTGAATGATTTAGTGCTGACTGATTCAGTAAAACATTGTTGAATGATTCAGCACAGAAGTACATTCTGAATGATTCAGAGCCACTATCAAGCATCATGTTACATTCAGAGTTACTTCATACAGAGCCTCTGAATCATTCAGCATTTGAATCATTCAGCGCTTAATCATTCAGAGGTAAACAAACAACCCCTAAGTTTAGCAACCATGTCCTAAACTAATTAAAATTTATTATAATAATAAAATGCCTAAGTAATATATATATATATATATAATCCCTATAACAAAATAAAGATGGAATAAAATAAAACCAAATTATCACATGGATCAAAGTAACAAGCATATATTTAGCAAGAAAAAGGTTTAAATCGAAGCTAATTAAAATAGCAGTGTCTAAACAAACAAATAAACCAACATAAATATAAACAGTGACTAAAAATATATATCATAGCAACTTTAAGGGTCTGGTGTGTATATTACCATTTATATATAGTATAAATGAAGGACTAAAAAGTAATGAAAGGAAAATATATGGGTAAGATTAAGTATTTAACTCAACATTCGAAAATAGTGATCAAAATGTAAGTTTCATAAATATAGAAGATAATGTCTAATATCCACAAAATATACACAATAACATTATGGTGACCTAGATACAAGATATACAAATGTGGGGCATGAAATATGAAACAAATAAATTACAACAGTTGATTATAAAAGAAAATTACAAAACCCAGAGGCCCCAATAATGAAATTAACCCACGCGCTGAAATTACGACTCGACCCCTCTCTAAACGGTGTCATTTGGGACCTTAGATATAAGGCCAAACGAAAGGCCTAAGTTTGGTAAGACTCATCATTTTCTCATTTTCCCCTCTCTATTCAAGAATCAGAGTGCAAAATGCTCTCGTTTCTCTCCTCTCCTCTGCCTCTCTCCCTCCATCCTCTATCGAGGATGGAAGCCCCAACTCCCCGACCACCGTAGATTGCTGGCCACGGGGAGTAAAATGTGTCAAAACGCCTTCTTTTTTACTTCTTATCTCTCTTTCTCTTCTAAAAAATCCCTAACATACTTAAAACTCGAAAACCCACCGTATTTTGAACCTTAACAAACCCTAGAAAAGGGAAAAGATTTTACCTTTAGGGATGGTCTTTCCTAGTTCCGATGAGGTCGCTAATAGTCAGAACTACAAGGTACGTTTCGGTTTCGATTTCTCTCATTTCTTTCTCTTTTTTAGTTTTTGTTCTCTACTTTTTCCACTCTCTTTTTTTTCTTCGAAAAAAAGAATCCTCTTTCTTTCTCTTTCCCCCCATTTTATGTTGCATGCGTTGGTTGCGGTGATCCTTCTGTTTCCGAGATGAGAGGATATGATTGCCTCAAAAAAATCTATCTATATTTGTTTTCTCTTTTTTATTTGGGGCTTTTTGACGTGATTAATCTGATGATGGATTGATTTGGTGTAGTGGGCGATTGAGATGACTCCGGCAAGAGCGACAGTGGCGGTGATGGTAGCTTTGCCCTAGGCGACGGCGACAGTGGAGGGTAGCTAGGGCTTCGGGCCCTATATATCATCGGGACAGTTGGATATGGATAGATCAAACGGCTGAAACAAGCCGGCGACTGATGGATCATACCAAAAACCTAGCTTCAAGTGATTTGGATCGTTGGATGGGTCCAGATCTGAGGGTTGTCGTTGACCGGCGTTGGAAAGCTATTAGAAACCCTATTGTGTTTAGGGTTTCAATAAACTGGGTCAGGTCGAATCTGGGCTTCGGGTCATGCCATTGGGCTCCGGGTCTTGTAACTGTGTTGGGTCTTGATGGGTCATACCCTGGGTTGTTGGCCTTGTTGGGATTCGTCTGGGTTTCATGTTTTGTACTGGGGTTGGGCTTCAGGTTGGGGCCTGTAGAAAAATGTAAATAAATAAAATAATAATAATAATAATTATTATTATTATTATTTAAAATAATTTAAAAATCCGGACAAAAACGAGTGTCTACATGCTTCACCTGATCAACCAAAGAGAAGAAGATAGAAGCAACTTTATGAGAAAGAAGCAGTATCATCAAAACATTTCCAGTGCATAGCAGCCTAGAGTCCAGGGCAATGGGGTGACTAAGGTCAATTACAACACATGTTCTCGTTCCATTCTCTCCATTCTTTTTACTACTATTTCTCAATTCCCGGAAAAGGATAGCCTTCCATTGCATACAATCCAATTTAACAAGCATTCATGGCTTAACAATCATGGTGACGGTAGAATTGCTAAAGATAAGCCAAAGTTTATTAATTTCTCATAATCAAGTAGAGTGGCTTAATCTTAACGAATATTTTGGCTATTCTTGCATTGCAAGCACATCATAGCACTGTTTTGGTCTAACCTTCCAAGTTCCAAGTACAAAACTAAGCAATTTTAAAAGTAAAACAGGCTGAAAACTATTGTAGCAAAGTTAGCATGCATACTGCAGTCATGTCATCGGTGAAGTAAACATCATGGTTTCCTTCCATATAAGGGAAGGGATCTCCCAACCACACCATATCAACATCATTATACATTACATTGTAGCCGAGCTCCAAGATTTGCAACAAATGCCGGGGCCTCCTGGCAGTAAAATTGAGGAATCCCTAAATCAAGCACCCAATAAACATGAATTGAAAATGCTAACAAGTAAGAAAGAGATGAAGTTCCATAAACAAAACCTAAAAACGGGATTGGACCTGAGAGGCAAATTTATGAGCGGTTTGTGAATCAAGAGCTGGCGGTACTAGGACGGCATGACCAGGCCATTTTTCATTAACCTTGTCGAGAGTAGCATAATCCTCAGCTATGACAAGGACTTTCTTTTGGTGCTTCTGTCTGGTGATACTAATCAGCCAATTGTTGAGAGAAGGCAAGTAAGGATGACTCACCACGCAGGCAATTATGGTACCGTTTTTGGCGACGAAAGAAGCGGATTCGGCCAAAGAGTAGGCTCGCCATTTGGAAATAGGAGAAGAGGGCATTTTAGAGTTGGAGAATATGGATTGGGGCATGCCTGACCAGGGCGCCAACACTCCGATAATTAACGTGAGCGAGAGGAGAATAATTATGCCCGTTGGACTGAATATCGAAACGGGTCTTTGCGAGGTTGATGAAGAACGTGGGGAGATCGGGTAGCCGTTTGAGAATGGATTCTGGATAGGTCGTTGGTGCAAGAACGACGACATTGTTGCTGGTAATACTAAAGATCGTAAACAAACGAGCTTGTTTATGGAGATTTAAACCAACACGACAACGGGGTGGCCAATTTTGGCTTAAGGAAATGTGTTTTGAGATCGGATCTATAAACGGCGATTCATGACGGTGGCTTTACAGTAGAAGAAAACACTTGAGGATGATATGATTGTCGGTGTTGAGTCCAAACTCCCAACTTTGATGATCTTATCTCCTCAACAATTCTGTAAATTGGCATCTGTTCCTGGATTGATTTTCTCCAACATCCTCAAGGTATAATCCCTACTTTAAATTGCTTTCAAATTTCAAAATATTTTAATTGATTCCTCAAAGTATTATTAGTATAAGTATCACCGACTATAGGATATGTTTTATTGAATCTATTAACTATTAAAAGTTACAAAATAATTCCTCAATTTTACGGTGTTGCTTTGTTGAGTCTCTCAACTATTAAAAGTTACAAAATGCACACCTAACAATTCATATGTTCCAAACTTGTTCTTTCTCGTTAAAAATTTGACGACAATTTGAGCTAGTTGTTAATCTGTTGATTGGGATATCACAAAATCTGATCCCAAATGACTATCATATATCAGTTAACATCTAGCTCAAACCGTAGTCATTTTTTAACAAAAACTGATAAGTTTCGAAACATATGAATAGTCGAGTGATCATTTTGTAACTTTTAATAATTGAGGGATTCAAAAAAGTAACACCCTATAATTAGAGGATTATTTTATAACTTGTAATAGTCGAGGGATTCAACAAAATAATATCTTATAGTTGGAGGACCATTTGTGTACTTTACCCTATAATTTAAAATTTTGTTAGTCTAATTATTAACTTAAATGTTAAATATTAATCTTGTGGGATATGTATTTAAAACATATCAAAATTTAAATATATATGCATATCTATTATATTAATAATTTAAATTCGACATATTAGACAGAACAAATAATATCAATAAAATTCTACTAAATGACAATTTTACTTCTCATTTTTGTTATGTATGGCTCATAAAAAGTCTCGTTGTGGGGTTACGAATTATGTGGGTTGGGGGTGTGGGGGCGCAGCCCCCGCGGTACGGTACAGGGTTGATTTTGTAATTATGTACCAGGGTTTTCTATTATAAATAGAGATGTAACCTAGACCTAAAATATCATTGAATAAAACTTCTAGCGCCGCCTAGGCACCGAGGACGTAAGCTCATTGCCGAACCTCGTAAAATTCTCGTGTTCTTTCGTTTTCTTTACCCGTTTTCGTCAACAATTGGTATCAGATGTCAGGAGCAAAATTCGAAGTCGCGAAATTCGATGGTCAGGGTAACTTCGGATTATGGCAAACGAGGGTGAAGGATCTATTGGCGCAGCAAGGGATCTTGAAGGCTTTGCGACCTACAAAGCCGGCGTCGATGGATGAGGAAGATTGGGAAGAATTGCAGCAGCGAGCGGCAGGAACCATACGATTATGCTTGGCGGACGAGGTCATGTATCACGTCATGCATCTATCGTCTCCAGACGAAATTTGGAGGAAGTTGGAAAGTCAGTTTATGTCCAAATCCTTAACGACAAAACTGTATCTGAAGCAGCGGCTGTATGGGCTGAAGATGCAGGACGATCACGATTTGGCGCAACACGTGAATGTCTTCAATCAAATCGTTTCTGATCTGGCTCGGCTTGATGTGAAAATTGAGGATGAAGACAGAGCGATGATTCTGTTGTGTTCGTTGCCTTCCTCTTACGAACACATGGTGACTACTCTTACATATGGGAAAGAGACTATCAACGTTGAGGAGATTACTGCAGCCTTGTTGGCTCACAACCAGCGGAAGCAGAATGCAGGGGAAAGCTCTCAAGCCGATAGCTTATATGTCAAGGGTAATCGAGATCATGGACGGAAGCCAGAGAAGGCAGGGTCCGGGAAGCGGAATTCCAGATCCAAATCCAGGGATAAGAAGACGATTCACTGTTACAAGTGCAAGGAGGCGGGACATATGAAGCGAGACTGTCCGAAGTTGAAAAAGCAGACCGATGAGAAGCGTGATGGCTCATCCAAGTCTGTGAACGTGGTCGAGGATGATACTTCTGATTGCAGTGAGGGTGATATGCTTTCTATTTCAACGACACAATTGACGGATGCTTGGATTCTTGATTCTGGATGTTCTTATCACATCACGCCAAATAGGGAATGGTTTTCGACATACAGGCCGGTTAATTCTGGTTCGGTTTATTTGGGTGATGATCGATGTTGCAATATTGTTGGTATTGGTGATGTCAGAATTAAGATGCACGATGGCTCCGTTCGGACGTTGAGTGGTGTTCGACATATCCCAGACTTGAAGAAGAATTTGATTTCCTTGGGCACTTTGCACAAGAATGGTTTTATCCCTAAGGCTGACGAGGATAGGGAAACCATTCGGATTGTTAAAGGAGCATTGACTGTGATGAAAGGCAAGATGACTGCAGGGAATATCTACAGATTGTTAGGGAGTACCGTTGCAGGTGGAGTTCACTCTGTTGAGTCCTGTGATGATACGACAAAATTGTGGCATATGCGCCTTGCTCATCTTAGTGAACGTGGTATGGCAGAATTACACAAGAGAAACTTGTTGCATGGTGTGAAAAGCTGTAAGCTCGATTTTTGCAAGTATTGTGTTCTTGGTAAACAGACTAAAGTCCGTTGCAAGACTGTGAAGCACACAACTCAAGGGATTCTTGATTATGTGCATTCTGATGTATGGGGGCCTTCCACGACATCGTCTTTGGGTGGATCTAGGTACTATGTTACTTTTATTGATGATTTTTCACGGAAAGTTTGGGTGTATTTTTTGAAACAGAAATCTGAAGTTTTTGAGAAGTTCAAGTTGTGGAAAGCTGAGGTAGAAAACCAAACAGGACGAAAAATCAAGTGTTTGCGGTCTGATAATGGTACGGAGTACACAGATTCACAGTTCCTACAATTCTGTAAGGAGCATGGGATTCAGAGGCATTTTACAGTGCGCAAGACACCACAACAGAATGGTGTTGCGGAACGAATGAACAGGTCGTTGAATGAAAGAGCCAGATGTTTGTGGTTGAATGCGGGGCTTCCCAAACACTTCTGGGCTGAGGCTGTTAACATGGCGTGTTACCTTATCAACAGATCGCCAAGGGCATCGCTGGCTGGGAAAGTTGCAGAAGAGGTATGGACTGGTCATGATGTTAGTTTTGATAACTTACGGATTTTTGGTTGTCCTGCTTATATGCATGTACCTGCTGATGAGAGATCCAAACTTGATGCAAAATCGAAGGAGTGCATTTTTCTGGGTTACAAGAAAGGTGTCAAAGGATTCAAGTTCTGGGATCCAGTTGCGAAGAAAGTTGTGATTAGTAGAGATGTCGTTTTTGATGAACAGTCTATGTTGCAGCAGAAGCAAGACACGACAGTGGTAGATTTCGAGCAGTTTCCAGTTGAGAAACCAGAAACTTCTCAACCGACTTCTGGTGGTTCCACTACGGATGATTTGCAGGATTATAGTCTCGCCAGAGACAGGGTGAGACGGACGAATATAAAGCCTCCGAACAGATTGGGTTTTGAAGACTTGGTATCTTTTGCACTTACTGTTAGCAGTGATGATCCAGTTACTTTTCATGATGCCGTTACTAGTCAGGAAAACGACAAGTGGATGGCAGCCATGGTTGAGGAGATGGAGTCTTTGAATCACAATCGCACATGGGAGTTAGTTCCCCTTCCTGAGGGTAAGAAGCCGATTGGTTGCAAATGGGTGTATAAGAAGAAACCAGCAGTAACAGAAAAAGAGGGGGAGAAGTTCAAGGCTCGTTTGGTAGCGAAGGGTTTTTCACAGCAGAAAGGAGTTGATTATGATGGAATCTTTTCTCCTGTGGTCAGGCACACTTCAATCCGAGCAGTACTTGCATTGGTGGCTAGTTGGGATTTGCATTTAGAGCAGATGGATGTTAAAACTGCTTTTTTGCATGGTGATTTAGAGGAGCAGATCTACATGCGGCAACCTGAAGGTTTCACTCAACCTGGAAACGAGCATTTAGTTTGCAGATTGAAGAAATCTTTGTACGGGTTAAAACAGTCTCCGAGACAGTGGTATAAACGGTTTGACTCCTATATGATCAAGATTGGCTACAACCGATGTGAGTATGATTGTTGTGTCTATGTTAAGAGCCTTGATGATGGTTCTTTTATTTTTCTATTACTGTATGTTGATGATATGTTGATTGCTGCGAAGAACATGGATGATGTTATCGGTTTGAAAACTTTATTGAGTCAGGAATTTGATATGAAAGATTTAGGTGCTGCAAAGAAAATTCTTGGAATGGAAATTTGCAGGGACAGAGACTCAAGGAAACTGCGGCTATCTCAACGGGGTTATGTTGAGAAAATGCTAGAAAGGTTTGCGATGAGCAGCGCGAAACCAGTTAGCACTCCATTGGCGAATCACTTTAAGCTCTCATCAGAACAGTGCCCTAAGACAGATAAGGAAGCTGAAAATATGGCAAAGGTTCCGTATTCTAATGCTGTTGGCTGCTTGATGTATGCGATGGTATGTACTCGTCCTGATTTAGCTCATGCTGTTAGTCAAGTTTGTAAGTACATGTCTAAACCTGGTAAGCAACATTGGGATGCAGTCAAGTGGATCTTTCGGTACTTAAAGGGTACTGTGGGACATGGAATTGTTTTTGGGAGTCAGCGGGATAATCCTTTGGTTGTAGGATATGTGGATTCAGATTATGCAGGTGACTTGGATAATAGAAGATCTACGACAGGGTATGTGTTTACTCTTGGTGGAGGGCCTATTTGCTGGAAGTCTACTGTTCAATCTGTCGTGGCACTATCTACAACTGAAGCTGAATACATGGCAGCGGCTGAAGCTGCAAAAGAAGCTTTATGGCTTACTGGTTTAGTGAAGGAGTTGGGTGTTCAACAAGGTGGAGTTCAGTTGCTTTGTGATAATCAAAGTGCTATTCACTTGGCTAAGAATCAGGTGTATCGTGCTAGAACTAAACATATTGATGTAAGGTTCCACAAGATCAGAGAGTTG